TCATAAAAAAAAAAACAATATGATGCATGTATACGGCGAACACATTTCCTGCTTTAATATTTCATAAATATAATGACTTCGTGCTGATATACCAATGTACTGATGCTGATGATACTGATTGACACGGCAATAATGCACTTACTGATGTAACGAATATGAACATTCGTTGTAACATTCGATAAAATTGCATTTATGTAATGCTTACCTTAGAGTGTAAGTATGATTAAGTTGTAAATTTTTTTGTTCATATAAAAATAACGATGCATGGCATGAACATTACATTACATGTGCATTACTACCAATTACTGTATTTGTCCGTAATTTCAAATGGATAAATCGTAATCTCTGATGGGTGCTCTTGGCAACAACAACAACTTCAATTTATAGGAAGTAAGTATTAAATTCTAAGATTTTTAGCAATTATTGAAATTTATAAAAAACTCTTTCGAATAAGGGAAAGAAGCTTTATTTCCCACCACTATTGGGTATTGGGTACATTGTATATTAATTTTGTGCTGACATGTATAGCATAAAGAGGGGTTTAACATAGATGCACCTTTTTAGTTTACCGATCTGTGTCTGGCTGTCCGTCCGCATGTCCGTCCATACATTTTAGTGTTCAATCCGCAGTTCGCAATTTTGGAGACATTTTGATGAAATTTGGTGTACTGGATGGACCGGTTTGCTGTTGCGACTGAATAATTTTGTGAGAAAAAATTTTTTTAACCTTCTCCTTGAAGAAGGTCTAAATTTCAATATTATATAATGAAATTTGGTTCATAATAGAAAATTCAATTAAGCCTAGGTCCATTTCTTGGTACCAATATCCGGGATTTCATGAAAATAATGCGTAATTTTTGATGTACTATTATCAAATCGCGCGAATAACTGTACTTAGACAAAATTGTGTAGGATATCTAATAATCGGGCCTTGTTTTTATTATTATATTGTTTTTATTATTATATTATACATTATTATATTGTTATAGTATTACGTTATTATTGTATCGTTTTATATCGGGTATTGTATTGTGTATTTCGTTGTGTATTGTATCGTATATTGTGTATTGTACAGTGTATCGTATTGTGTATTTGTGTTGTATAGTGCATTGTTGTATTGTATAGCGTATAGTGTATTGTTGTATTGTATAGTGTATTGTGTATTGTACAGTGTATTGTTGTATATATATATGCATAAATATAAATATTAATATAAATATTGCAATCACTAATGCAAAAACATCCACAATCATTATTTTCCTTTAATAACACTTCCATGGATAACTTATATGGCGCGCCCCGTTGTCCTTGACCAATGGACGGAATTACATTAAAATATGAATTCATCTATTCATCATTAGCCGGTAAGAATCCATAAATTATAATGTGAATGCGAACACACTAAATACTAATAATGACTATGAATTATTGAATAACATAAAAACATCCAACATCCAACATCCAACAATAAAATACGATGAAATTAATATTAATGGCGTCGGGGGATATATTCTTGGGTCAAATTGAATGAAACTCGCAACACATATATTAGATTGCGGTAAGTGTTATGAATTAAAAACTTGAACAATTCTTGCAATGCATAAAATATCTGCTCTTTTTTTTACATGAATGAATGCCTGCTGTAATGCTTGTTAAAATGCACCTTTTAGTCAAAAGTAAGTAATCAAAGGCAGAGTCATAGTATCAATTTTATGATAAATATTCATTAAATAATTTCCTTAACAAAATCTATTGCGCGCATAATATAAATGTTTGCAAATAATATTTTTCTATGACGCAACATTTGCATTTATTCAATGCATACAAATGTATGGTGCGTCCGATGCGATGACTGGCAAAATTCAAAACAAAATGTATATTTTTAGGCGGCGGCGGCTATGGTAATTATTTATTATATTATAATAAAATTTATGGAAGCGATTCATCGAATGTATTTCTTGCCCTCTCCCACCTCACTCTCCGGATGTCGCGCGCGTCCATTCCTGCCGCATGTATCATGTAATCAATAACTAAATGATCTTACCTGGAATGCTCGGAAATCAATGCGCATATATAATAGGACGTAAGTACTACTTAATCCTCGTACTAATGAACTAACGATTGAAATTCTCCATTTGAATCAAATCGGATAATTATGCGATACGATATATCTATCTGATGGGATTTTTGCTTCAGTCCGTAAAAGAAGTTGTATGCGATAAATAGTTGTGAAATTGATCGATTGATTGAATTGACGTATATGAACTAAATTGAAAATTCCCGAATTTTTCATATGACTTCTTTTTTCAAGTTGTCGAACATATCTCCATGTTGACCATATGGTTGTCTTTATTTGTACGGTTTTCTGACGGGGTGGGCTTACTTTTGATTTGGTGATGAAAACAACTCTCGTACACTAATATAATATATTTATGAATATTATCTTATTTTTCTTATTTTTTAATCATTCATGATGAAACAATATATGTCCGGATCTTCGTATATATATTAGGATGTAAGTATCAAGAATTATAAACTTTTTATACAGCTTTTAAGAATCTATGAAAAATATCTACCAAATGGCTTCATAATGAATATTATGAAGATGAATGAACGGATAAACGGCATAAACTAATTGAAATATAGCCTACAGCTTTTATAATATATTGATTCAATAAATTTATGATAAACAATGAAAAGTTCAATAATTGATAAAATATGTAAAATGTACAATAATAACACTTTTCATAAATGCTGATGTGATGACGATGACTATCCATAATTACGCATTCAATAAAATATGGAATCAAAACTGAATATATTAGGATGTAAGTACCACAAATAATATAAATATGTGTATTCATCTAATGTACTTTTTTTGTTCATTTCATCTTACACATCATTACGGTCCTTGGTAACATTTCCGCCAATTATTATTTCCACACACCGGACACCATATATATGCACATCTTTACGATGAATTGAAATATTTTGCGGGATGTATATGTGTACGGTATACAAATGAAATTTAAAATGCATATACTAGGATGTAAGTGCATTAGTTACTCGTATTGATGAAATATATTTATTCATCTAACGAATTTCTACTTTTAATTTCTCTTTGTGCCTACCATCACATCTCTTGCTGAAATGTTATACATAATTCTTACAATTACTATTTACGTATATCAATGAATGGAATATTTGGCTGGACGAATATGTACTTATGTGCTATAATTAAATGAAATGAAATTCAAATTCATATTTTAGTATGTAAGTGCAATAGTTACTGGAAATGATGAAATATATTCATCTAATGAATTTCTACATTTAATTTCTCTTTGGGCCTACCATCACATCTCTTGCTGAAATTTGATACAAAATTCTTGCAATTACTATTTACATATACCAATGAATGGAATATTTGGCTGGACGAATATGTGCCTTTGTGGTATAATTAAATGGAATGAAATCATATCTTAGTATGTAAGTGCAATAGTTACTGGAAATGACGAATGTTCATCTAATGAATTTCTTCGTTTATTTCCTTTTTTTTTAAATGCGGCTTTGGTGGGCTTCTATCATCGTTCAATCCCGCGTATATGGAATGAATAAATGTTTGTATCGGTTACGATCTGTGCAACGAATACCGGCAATTAAATCAAATTAAAATGAAAATCAACCTGCTTATGCAATTGCATAAAATAAAAAATGAAAATGCATTATAGGACCAAGTAAGAGGAGCATATCTAATTTAAACTGAAATTTATAAAATACTTATTATTATTTATTATTTCTACGATCATCTCAATGTACATTTGCTGCTCCAATTGACATCTGCATAAAAATTTGTAATCCAATAATGCATGCAATGTTTCGCATCATCACCGTTAGGCCGTCGAGTTGGGGGTGAGTAGCATTAAAATCATTCAAATGCATTTCTCTATCCTCCCTCCCTCTCTCTCTCTCTCTCTCTCTTTTTCCTATGCTGCGCAAATAATACAATGAATGAATGAAATTTACGTTTCTTCGATGAAACGATGTGTGCGGGTGTGCGTAAACATAATGGTGGAATATTTATAAAATCGATTCCTGTGCTCGCCGATACAATAACTGCTCTCACCAATCATAATTATGTTCTCTCTTCATAATCCTAATGGGTGATCGATATTATGAATAATTTACATATGTATGGGGTCGTCGACTAAACAATAATTCATACAATTGTAAAACACTTCTTCACTAATTTGAATGTGCCTGCGTCCGTTTGAATATAATTTGCATTACGATTAATATCTCCGCATATGCATATTGCATATATTATGAACGTTTGTATGCATTTTACGAATCCATGTGTACATCTCACTTTATCCATTAGTGGGATAAGGTTAGTGTCATCAACTACAAATTTAAATCATTTATGTACTCATATAACTATTTGCATAACACTGCTCCGATCCATGCGTAAACAACGTGCGGTACAAATAAAAATATTATGAATATGAATGTTTATTCATTATACTTATGAATACATGGGGCGATCGTGAAAATAAAATTGAAATCAATCAAGGTTTATCAGGACCGTGGGGTTAGTATCGGCATGATAATACGTTTTATGAAATTTTCATGATATGAATTTTCTCTTTTCATTTCACTTAACACTTCACGAATACCTATAATACAACGCTGGAATGCGTGCAACTCTGACAATAATGCAAAATGGGCGCTGTTAATATATTCCCCCACTATAATGCTTTCATAACTTTTACGAACTTCGATATGTCTTCGACGAACAATAATTGTGGTGTAAATAAAATTGCAATGAAAACACAAAATGCACTGAGCGATGCGATTTATATATAAAACCATTCATCATTCTACATGCCTACGAACTCGAATCTTGTATTAAAATTGTAAACGCCATGGAATGTGTGTGTATGCTAATGTATATGCTACTATACGGGGTCGTGTGAATTTAAAAAAAATTTGAAATAATACTGGAAGGACTCTGAGGAGGAGGTTTGTAAAATCAATGGTCATATCAATGAAAGGCAACGATTTAATATAAAATTTCTTACTAATTTTTTGTATAATATTTGATGCGAACGTGTACTACTCATACGATAATTGGCATTCTATTATATAATATTGAAATCGAAAAATTCATCTTTAAGGGCCCCGAGGTAAGTGTCATGAGGAGATGATTAGTAGTAGTTACACAAACAAACACTCACCGAAATATATAAGAGATTTATCAAAGACATTTCTTGTTTTGCTATGGCAAATGAGCAAATTCGACAAGGACGGACGGACGCACGGACGCACGGATGGAAAGTAAATGAGAAAATCCAAAGATCCGACGGACGGATCATAACATATATATTTGTCGTACGACGTCTTTGGATTCCCTCATTTGGTATCCGTTCGTCCGTCCGTGCTCATTTGCGATAATAATGGTATTTTAGAACATATTTTTGCAATTTGAGTCCTTTTTTTAATCCAATTTTGAAATAACACGATTCATCAATAAGAATAAATACATTCTTTACACGAATTTTTTGTTGTATCAAGAATTCCACAAACATATTTTTTTAATTTTATGGAGGAATACCGTGATCGGAAGAGAAGACAGTCTGTTTATGCCCACACATGTCCTAAAGAAAGTAACCAAATTTTATGATTATTGATCATCGCGTTAATAACTGTTTTTTGTTTGTTCAGTCCGTGACAAATGTGTTGTGAAAATGATTTTTTCAATTTCCGTTTTTGTATATTGTACTCTTATACATTGAATTTTCACTGCATATAAATTTTAAACTTGTTTGTGTCGTAATGCAGACTTCATTTTATTTATTTTACACGGTTTTTTCGGAAAGAATTTCTATTCGACTTTTTTAGACTTACAAGATTTTCTAAAGTTGTTCAATATATCTTTTCATATACTGTTTTTATCTATCGTGTAAAAAAAAGATTTAGGTATAATTGTTTGAAGTAGTGTAATATCTCTTCGTATTTACCCTATGTCCTATGTATTGTTTTGCGCGTTTTCGTTTTTCTAAAGAGAATGTCCACCCCCCCCGTATTCGTGAAATACATGCAATCATCGTCAAACCATTTACATATTAGAAAGTTGCTAAAAATTCATCATATATATCGTTTCATTCCATTATCTTGTAGAAATTATTTACTTAATAATACTTATATATAATTGTTATGAATTATTTTTTTATTTAAATATATCTCTTCTTAATAAATTTATTTAATGCTGCAACGCCTTAATGAAAATCGGTAACAGCCGCCAAAACTGGTTAGTATCAAACACTAGAACCTTACATCTATGTAAAGAAAACAATATGATATGCATTTTTATTTACTACGCTCTCGCTCCCGATGGATTCCCGATAAAAACTCGAATTTGCTTTGAATCTCAAAATCGGAATCGAAACAAACACAGACTGTAAGTAGGACTGATTGCATTAAAAAAATTACTCTCTTCCCATTCAATATGTATTTTTGTATTTTAAATCATTTTACACTTATTCATAAATTTATCACATGATGAAAATTGGGGTTCGTTTAATGAACGACGAATGTGCGGCGGCTACATGATGTCATGATAATTTTATAAAAAATATAAGAGATACAATGTAAGTATGATAAAAATTATAATATAAAAAATTCATTTCCTTTGCCATTATCAATTATCGACGTACGTAGGTATAAACTGCCGCTAGGTCAAAAAGACAAGGAGAAAAATTTACTAAAAGATTTATAAAGAAATTTAGTGCTTTTTTATACCCACCACTGTAAGATGGGGTTATACTCGTATTGTTTTTCTTTTTTTCATCCAAAAGAAAGTTTCAGGGACATTGTAAAGTATATACATTCTTGATCAGCGCGAAATTCTGAGTTGATTTAGCCATGTCTGTCTGTCCGTACGTGTTTGTTGTTGGCACACTCTCGACCGCAAAAATGAAGATATCAATCAAGTTCAAAGTTGGTGAAAGCATTGGGGATTTTTGCACGCAGGTTGGTATTCAAAATGCATCAAAATTGGTCAGAGCAGAAGCGGGCAGGGGAGCGTGAACTGAACGCAACTCAGTTTTTTCTAACAAAAATTTCTGTATGCTTACACATTATTCGCAAATTATAAATAAGGAGAAGACTGAAATTTTCGACTTATACTTCACGAAGTACTCTACCCTTAACGTCAAAAAATAAAAAAGTTCGGTCATGCCCACAGGAAGTTACAGTTGATTCAATTTTCTCACTTTCTCAAGAATTTATGCTTATTTATCATCACACCACACCTCAAATGAAGATATATTATCTGCCTAAAATAAAAGTGAATTAACTCTAAAATGATTATGGTAGACATCGCAACGTGATCGATTAATTAATCTTTCTTGATAATACCAGCGATAACGAGTGTCAAATAAAAGAACTTGGTGGGTATGCGAGATTCGGTGCCGCCGAATATAACTTTCTTAACGAGAAGTTATCGTCGATAAATTCGAATTTTTTTTCTATTGCTTTCCAGTCATCTATGAATGTATTTTTTTATTATCTCTAACACATCATAAACTCACTCTTTTTTTAGCGTTATTTATTTACGAGCACCTTATATATACTACATATATATATATATATATATATACGTATAATGCGAGGCTCTTAAAAGTTAAAGGATTACATTTTTTATCATTCTCGAAAATGATATTCGCTTATGTATCATTCGGATAAAATTTTAACTTTCATTATCTATCATGTTCATTTATCATTTATCTCATGCGATTTCTCCATCTACCGAATTTCTGCCTCTTTGCATTTATTGCAAGCGATTGAAAAAAAAGTTTGCTGACGCGTGATTACTTTTCAAGTTGTTTTTTTGTTGTATTTATCGTCTTCATTTGGGTTGGGCTTTTTTAAATCGTATCACGCGGTGGAGGAGAGCATATTTACTGCAAACTTCTCACACGCACAAAAGTGAAAAGTTTTCGTTTAAATGAAAACAAAGAAAAACTAATTGTGTCTTTATCAAATATATTTTATAAAGAACCTCTCGGGAGAGCGAGCTCCAGAACTTCTTTCAAGGAAATTTAGATTTCCTGGCCTTGAGTTGCCAAACGAGCTTACCTATCACTTAATTTGTTTAATCGCTTAACAGGAACTATTTTGTCAGTAACCTTATAGATTATTACTCTCACGAGCATTTGTCCTGTACGGACACCTTGCGTCCTACAAGTATTACATCAATACAATCATTTGGCGACCGATCATGAAAACTGTTCACTCTTACCTTTAATTGCTTTAATAGCGAAATATCCAGACTTCACCAGTGTTAAACTAACCCTGGTCCGAGTATCTGGTTTGTGAGTTTGCTTTACTTTCCTCAGCAGTCTTGTGTAGCCCTTATGCTACGGTACTTAAACTATATATATAAACTATATAAATGTATATATCATTTCATGTGAGGATTTGAAGAATCAATGGAGAAGAAAAATACACTAAAAATTTAAATTGGGTTTTTCTCTCGTTTGTTTGTATATAAAAAATCTATTGTAAATTAATTTATTTTCTGATTAATATGCAATAATAAAATCAACGAAAAAAAAAAAAATCAACTTTTATATTTCCTTAATATGCATGCAACAAACTTACAAACGAAACTACGAATCGAAATATCTCTGCGGATGAATTATAATAGAGCCCTGAGGTAAGTATTTTCTCGTATTAACTCAACTAACAAGCTTACATAGATTTTTCTATTTTACATTAGGAAATTAGGGACGAAGGCTTGCGGAAATTTGGTAACATGATGTATGACGTGGATGTGGACTTTTTCACTAAAGTCATAAATTCCAATGACTACACTCTAATGGTACCTGAAGAAGAAAACTGGGACGCGTCTGAATTTAATAATCTAGAGTAAGTAAAGATATATATTTGTTTATGTAGATATATGTATAACTGTGTACATATATATAGAAATTATAGAAGTTTAAATGTACAAATAAGTTTGGATATAATTACACTCTACACCATGTAAATATATAGGTATAGATGAGTGTATATCAATTTATGTGCATGAGGATTAAGACAACAGAACATACGCGTGCGTAACATAGACTACAAAATTATTATACAACATTAGCGAAGGTAAGCATACAAAGAGAACACATACACACGCAAATGAAGCGATCAAAATTTTATAAACTTATTATACCCTACCCGACTTGTGTTACAGGTAATATTGAGTTAGTGCGCAGAAGGGGTTAAGATAGACCTTCTATTATACCGATCGATTCAGAATCATAATCTGAATTGATCTAAGCCTGTCTGTCCGTCTGATGTCTGTCCATGTAAATTTGTGTTCAAGCTACAGATCGTTTGAGGAGGTTGATGAAAGTATAGTGTCGTGGTTTGACCCGAGGACCAGCGCTACTGAAAATGGTTCGGATCAGTCTGTTTTGGCCACTCTCCATACAACGCTCTATTCTGAAAAGTCGTTATATGGAAAAATTTTGCAAATTTCAATTTCTCGGCGGAAGTGGCCGAATAACAGTATTTCGGCGTTATACGCGGAGTACTCGGAAAAGTGGATCGATCTCTGAACCATATTTAATAGCATTAAAACACGGACAGACAAGAGAAAAGTGATGTTCACTGTAAACATTCTCTGGAGGGGAACATACACATACTTGATTTATTATATCGGAAGGTAGATATTTGACAAGTACGTTATTACACGAGGTATGCCTATAAATTTTAAGAGTAATGAAAATATGTGCTCATGTGAATTTCTTTTCACGGCTTTTTTTTTTTGTTTAAAATAAATTTCAATATTTTTAACTTCACTAGAGAGGCAGACAAATTGGACGTTCTTAAAATGCACATACTGAGGGGCCGTGTTACAAGAGATACAATTGTTGATGCAATTGAAAGCAAGGTACGTTTTTTCTTTTCTATTTTTGTTCCTTTGGTATAATTACATTCCCGAAGAAATTTTTTATACCCATCACCGAATTTTATCAAAACGTTTGCAACGCCCAGAAGGACGCATCATGAGAGAGAGTAAGAGAGAGAGCGAGAGAGTAAGAGAGTGAGAGAGTAAGAGAGCGAGAGAGAGATAGAGAGAGATCGAGAGAGCGAGAGAGAGAGAGAGAGAGAGAGAGAGAGAGAGAATGTCCATCTGTCCGTCTGTGTAACTTCTGAAAAAGCTATCGACATTGGAAGTTCTTGCATGCAGGGTTGTCTTGGAAGACAAGCGAACTCCGTCGAACGACACACCCCACGGTACCATGTCAACTGAGAATACCTCAAAAAGAATAAAACTTGTTTTTTTTTCCCTGCTCATAAACTATAGAAGAAAAATGTACAAAGCTTTGAACGCATATTCTGTCGGCGTAGCGTCCTGTAGTAGTAGTACCTGTACTATGAAAAATGAAAAAAATTGACTACCTAATATTGTAGGGTGCGGTATGAGGATTTCGTTTTTTATTCAATACCTTTATAAATTGCAAAAGCAAGCTTTATAAACCCCATATAAATTCTTAGCCTGCCCTGTGGTAAATATTGTCCTTTTAGAGCCTATCTTGAATATATCACCTAAAAATTTGTAAATTAATTTGGAAGTGAGTTACGCCCACACGTTTACGCGACAAAGACTTGAAATAGGAAAAATCGGTCGCCTCCAACCCATATGCATGAAAATTTGATGCTTTTAATTTTCTTTGCCTTTTCTTCTGAGATAACGTGGGGATAACGGTGATGGGTGCAAAAGATTTGGTCATAATCGAATATAATTTTCTTACTTGTTTTTTATATTAAATTGATTCTTCGTAGACTGCGCAATTTCCAACACTTTCTCCCCAGACTCGATTGTATTTTGAGAAATCGGGACGATCGATTACCGTGCAAGGACGCAGTGTAAATGCAAGCATTATAACGACCGACATAAGCGCTCAAGTTCTATTTCATAAAATTGATAAAATTTTGGGCATAGCTGATTCTACAGTGGTCTTCATAATGAAAACGGATAAGACATTACAGTACTTTGATATATTATATATAGCTATACACTCGTATATATATATATATATACATACCAACTATATTGATCTCAAATTTTGCAATTTCTGTTCTATAGCAATAGTAACGCATTGGGAGTGATGTCACTTTTCAACGATCAATTAGGCGCCGCAGATCGTAATTTTACGTACTTTGTGCCCAGTAATGCTGCTTGGAACGCAGCAGAAGTAGTATTCCCTGAAGTTGTTAAGAAATTATATTTACCGGAGTTTGCCTTGCATGTACGATTTTCATTCTTTAAATTTAATTATTTCATTTTCGAATGTTTTTTTTTTTTTTCTAGACCCATTTTCTATTAGAACGTCATTTGATCGTTAGCGATAAAAAATATAGTATTAAAGAATTGGCGGATTGGAATAAAACAGAAAAATTGCCGGCTTTAAAGGGCTCTTTAACCTTTAAAGTCGAAGAGGATATTAAAGGTAAGTATGAACCATAACATAAATGCTGATAAAATCATTTCAAATTTGTATAAGACGACGCTAATCTCTATTATTTTTATATTCATTTTGAAATATTTACGAAAAAATGAAGCAAGGCTTCCAGATGGTACCATTGCACGTGTTGGTGAGTAAAGTACTTTTAATATAAGATGCAAGATGTCGTTGACAATTTCTTTAGTACACGAAACTCTTTTTTTACATGCATCCTTTTTGCAGCATTTTGAAATAACACGGTTTGCTTTTACATGATTTCTTTTTTTGCACGTTTTTCTAACGTGTATATCTACAGAGTGTAAAAAGAGACTTGTTTGTATATTTTTTATTAATTTCTCTTTTGCCCTACACCACTTATGGTGGAGGATATATTAAGTTAACGCGGGTGTATGTAACACGCAGAAGGGCCTAATAGAGCCCCACCTTTTATTATATCGAACGATTCAGAATCATAATCTGAATTGATCTAAGCCGGTTTGTCTGTCCGTCTAACGTCTATCCATGTAAACTTGCACTTAAGCTACAGGTCGCAATTTATTAGATATTTCTATGAAGTTTGGTATAGGGACGTGTTTTCGCCCAAGGACGAACGCCACTGAACGTCATTCAGATCCCATATAACGCCCTATTCTGAAAAGTCATTATATGAAAAAAAAAAATGCAATTTTCACAATTTCTGGGCAAAAATGGCTAAGTTATAGTATTTCGGCATTGGTCTGAAAACTTTGGAACGGCTTGGACTATTTTGGAACCACCTCTCATATAATGAAATCTGACATAAGACAAAAAGGTACAGTTTTCAATGCTTCATGATGAAAATTAACTATACCAAGTTTGGACTATCTCGGCTTATTTTTTGGGTCATACCTTAGTAAGAAGTTTCACAAAAATTGATCCGTTGTAGAGCAGAAAAGTCGAAGTTTTAATATGTGATGGAAATTGACCCATAATATTATAACAATTTCATACAAAAATGAAATCTACAAAATTTGGACCATCTGCGCTTGCGCCTATTTTCTGGATTATGCCCTGTGTAAGGATTAATCATGTACTGCATTATGTACTACAAATGCCTTTATATTAAAGAGACAAGATATGATTTTTGTATTCTATAATAAAAATGAGAATTGTAATTAGACAATGTGGTTTAGGGTCGGCCTTATCCGACTAGTAATATTCTTAATTTTTTTTTTTAGATTATTATCTTTTGTGGCGTGCCAAACGTATTCTAGTGTATCGCCCTGATGTTGAATGTACTAACGGCTATATACATGTAATCGATGATCCATTGATGGACAGAAGCGACTTTGTCCGAACGATCTCATGTGCCGCTTTGTTTGATCATCATTTTAATAATATGCTTTTAATAATATTACCCTTAATGAAATTTTTTTCCTTAATTTGATTATCTTGCATCTTGCAAGAAATGAAATCTAAAACCAATTCATTGTACATTTCTAAAATATTAAAATAAAATAAAAAATTATATATATATATAATTTCGGCGAATTTTCCAGTCAAGAGCTAGCTATAGGATCTATAAGAGCTTACAACACACCGCCTAGGGGCTTTTAAAAATTTACACATTCCTATCTTACAAATAATGAAATTAGATTAGGTTACTTCGTATGAGGACGAAAGTGTGGTACATGCTATGTTTCATCTTCCCTTCTTACTAGTTTAGTTATCTTCCTCCTTTCACTTCTACGATTGCACACACTTGACCATCATCTTCTGCCGCAAATTGAAATTGTAGCGTAAAGGACGACAGTAGATTGTATTTATTTATCTTTTTTTAAACTCACATCATTTAATAAGAGAACTATACTATCCCTCGAGCCTACATAATGCGTAGCCTTATCCAGCGTATTCATCGCTTCAGCTTTCCCTACATCTAAACTTTTTTTTAACCATGCAAATAACACGGAATATTAGATTATTGATCATATCTCTGGCGCTATGTATAAATGATGACACGACCCAACCAAAAATTAAAATTGATGAACTCGCCATTGCGGGATGTTTGCTAGATCATTTAGGCGGTGGAGTACACCTTATAACCGTACACTTTACTTTATTAGTAAAGTAACAAAATCACAATTAACAAATAATATTTTATAGTATTAATATAAATTTTTGATTATTTTTGCTTTAATTTGATTTAATTAGCAGATTCACAAAAATTTCACTTTGTTAATGTTGTCTATTTTTTTAAGTGTAATATATAATAATTACTTGTATTATTACAAAAAGTTCTTAAGAAAAACTCTCCTTCGTTGTTTGTCGTGCGGCTTTTGACAAGCAAACAGTTAACCGGCCTTTTTTTTTACACCAAAAGTAAACAAAAAGAATGTGCACAGAGTTGCTTGCAATTAATTAATTAATTTTAAATATAAACATATATTACCACCATCGTCTAGTTGGAGCTTATAGCAACAAACACTTTTTCACACTGGCATTTTCTGTCGCAGTATATTAATTTATATAATTTATATTTAAATATAAATAGCTTTATTTACATAATAGCTTTGTTATACATTTGAAATACTTTATTAATATGTATAAATATATATATATATATATATATATAAAAGAAATTGTTATTCTTTTTAATGGTTTCCTGATTGCTTCCAACTCTTCTTCCTTGACTTGATCGCTTTTGCTCTTCTATCATCACCTCTAGATGTTTAGATGTTTAGTGTTTAGTGTTTTGGAAAATACGCGAACTAAACTTATTTAATTATACAAGTTATCCGCCTGAGTGACTTCAAATCTCAAGTGCAGTATAATTTTTTTTTGATGCGTATGGAAATGCTTGCCAGTGTATAATCCTATAAGATGCACCTTTTTACATAGAAAAAAATGGCCCCGAATTTTGGGTGCGTCTTACTTTCCATTAAAATATTTTTTTCAATAATTCGTCTCTTGAGGTTTGAAAGGAGTGACAATAATAATTCAGATGCAAATAATACGAACGGTGCCATGAACAAGCCGACTGATAATATCGAGAGTGAAGATGAACTGAATATTGCTAAAAACGTTTTCAAAGGGAGTGCCGTGCCTTGGTGGCACGATACATGCAAAACAAATGTATACGCTTATTTTATAAAGTTGCACGATACATGCAAGTGTTTTGGAAAATACGCGAACTAAACTTATTTAATTTTACAAGTTAGCCTAAAGTTAGACCGCCATTATTTTTAAACAAAGGAATTTATTCTTTGGCAAAATTTATAATAATAATAATAATAATTTTACAAGTTAGCCTAAAATAAGACCGGCATAATTTTTATTATCAAATTAAACAAAGCCCTCGAGAAATTCCTTGTTAAAAGTAAAAGCACAGAGTTGCCTATAATAAATAAAAAAATTGCCAGAAATTGCAGCTCTTTTAAATGGTTGAATGCCCAACTAACAACTTAAATTGCCAGATCGTTTAATTTACAAAGCCGCCAGCTTTTTACGTGAAAAAATCTGTTAAGGCAGCTTTATAAGTAAAAAAATCTGTTAAGGCAGATTTGCCAATTGAACAAAGCTTTTTAAATTTGTTTTTTTACTCTTTACATTGCTTTAACAGATTGTTATGCTTGCAATTTAACAGCGAACTTTAGACTGCTTTGCCATTTAACAGCGAACTTCACGACTGCTTTGCCTTTTTTGCAGAGCCAATGACGAATGCGTTGCCACTTTTTGATTATTTTCCTTATTTATTACAAGCAACTCTGTGCACATTTTCCATACATTCTTATTCTTCTTATTTAATTATGATAATCCTGCATTATTTAATATAAACTTTAAAGGTAAGTTAAAGCTAAACTCCTTGTTTTTTTAATAAATAACGAAATATAAAAGCCTTGATATGTCTTCTTTTTTTTTGTTAAATATTATCAAACAGTGATTTACAAAAACAGATGTTTCATCAGCTCGTTGCTTTCTTAAAACGACTTTTTTCAAACATGGTGATAATTATACATTTATTTAGCCTTTCATAGTTCTGAAGGGATTGAGAAATATTTTTTACAGGAACAATTCGTAGTTCTTGCGGATAATATTTTAGTTGGAAGTCTAAAGGATGTACAGCTTATATGTGCAGCATATATTAATTTTGCAACTTGGGCGAATCAATTCAAATTCATTTTCTGAATTAATAGAATAAAATAAATATGTCGTACAGCCCTCTGTTCAAGGAACAGACCGCCATATTTGAAATATTTTCACACCGCTTTATAAACCACGTGTAGCACATGTGTACATACAAGAGAAGATAATTAAAGATAAATGTATATGCGATGACATTTTGTTTGAAGTCGATAACTGTATCGCGGCAAGATGAATCCATCGAGTGTAGTTCGCGACTAAAGTGCACATACGCGGTGTGTTGATGTCACATGGCTTTTTCGCGCCCACTATACCAGTTAACAGTCCCCCGCAAATAAGTGGAGCGCCGGCAGTTAGTTTATCGCAATCCTCTTTAATGCAAACGTAACTTTTGTTTCGATGCTTCAAGTGCAATAAAACGCTACAAGACCTTTTATCGACTATCTCGTATTCCTTATCCCGTATAGGGCAACCGTTAGTTCTCTCGTAAACTGGGACAATACACGTAGCACCGGCTTGAAGATGTTCAATTGCATTATGATTGTGCAAACGCATTTTGCCTACGCTCCCCTTATCAAAGCGTAAATTTTGATCCAACTTAATTATCGCTAATTGGATTTTCGTAGTATCGAGTTTATTGTCGGGGACTTTTGCATAATTTCTTGCTTTATTCCATGTTATATTTTTAGATGGATCCCAGGAGAAATGCTTAACGCCGTACACGATGAAACCGTATTCAAGTATCTCATCGTTTATATTTTTAAATGGCTGCTGTCGATTCGACATGTCGGGCGCGTAATAAGTTAATATCATATTTTTTGTTAATATAATTCCCATACCTTGGTATGCAAAGTCTCCGGCAACTTTCCAACCAAAATAAACGAGATATTTTGCATAGCGACTG